ATCGTTGACCCAATTTTGTCTAGATAAGTCAATCACTTTTTGTTTCCCCATATTTTGACAAAGCAATTATACTTAATGGAAGGCTAGAATAAGAGTCTTTTTAAAATCTGTGGATGAGCGGGTTTGAGTCAGTGTAGGTAAGGATTGGACTGCCCCATCTACATATGTTCATGTTGTTGTTACACCTACAGTTATCTCCACTTTGACTAATTTAGTTGAGTATAAATGTAATAGTAGAGGTGCCTATGCCATCTTTATAGTTATTTCCCTCGAAGTGTTTGAATGGGTATCCATGCGTGAAACTGCTAAGGAAGATTGAGACATATTAGAAACCACACATGAGGGAACTAAGACCGTCAAAACCTCTAAGTTTCAAATGTTAACCACTAGGTTTGAAGAAATTAAGATGAGTAATGATGAATCATTCGATGAGTTCTATGTGAAACTGAATGATGTAGTGAATTGAAGTTTCAACCTAGATGACCGAATCCCCGAGGATAAGATTGTGAGAAACTTTATGAGATCCATACATGAAAGATTTAGACATAAAGTCACAGTTATTTTGGAAAGCAAAGACCTAGATGATATTAAAATAGAAAACTTGTTTGATCCCTCCAAACGTATGAACTTAGCCTATTCTAGTATAAGAAAAATAAGCCTTTAGCCTTAAAAACTATGAAGGAATAGACTAGTGATCAGATTGATGATGACACCTTAAAGGATAAGGAGTTTGCTTACTTAACTAAAAAATTTAAGAAATTCTTTAAGAATAATAAGAGACCTTTTGAGGAGTATAAGGGTGACTGTAGTAAATATAGAAAAGATGCCAAGATTTCGGATATGTTATATCGAGTACTCAAGTTATAAGAAAGCCCAGGTAAAGCTATGAACGCTACTCACTTATAATGAATCTAGCTCTGATGATGATAGTGAAAACTTTAATTAGAATGAGGGTGTGAATTATATGGCAATTACCTCTGTGGTTAAGATTGAACCTATAGAGGAGAATGAGAAAAATGAGGACACGGAGCAACCTGACTCTTTAAAGGAAGAATTAGAATATGATAGGGATATATGTGAGTCATTTGACCACCTATTTGAGAAGAGCCTTAAGTTGAAGAAGGTTAATAGCTCCATCTTTAAGAAATTGTATGAACTGAGAGCTTAGAAGTCAAACTCAATGAGTCAACTAGAAGATTGAATGAGTTGAATAAACCAACTCAGAATATGAGAGGTTTAGGCTTTTAAAAAATAAGTTTTGATATCGCTACATTTTCTAAAAACAAATTTGTACCTACATTTATCAAGTCTAAAAGTGGACAGAGATCATATGTGAAACATAGGTGTTTTCGACCTAAGGTTCAAAGCTTGAGACTTAGAATTACTCATAGGTTCATTTCTTCTTGTCACAATTGTGATAAGTTAGGTCACATAAGACCTCGGTATCGTAAGCTCTTGGTTAGAAACAACAAACAAGATTTCACTACTCATGTTAGATTCTTGACTAATCAAGTGAGTCATTTGATTGATATGATGAGTTATTTGACTAAGATGACATTTTCTTCTAAAACGATTTTGGTCAAAAAGAGTGAAGCCTCTGGTCAAAGTGATATTATAAATTACGGTGTTGCTTGCGTTGCCCTTAAAGGTAAGATCGTTTGTGTACCTCATTGAGTCGGCTTTTGAGTACATACATACATTTGCATTGTTCATAATATATATTTATTCATGCATGCACTCTAACTTTTTCTTTATCTCATTTGTTTTGCATTATTTATTTTATAAAATCAAAAAAAATTGAAGGAAAAAAAAGGATTTTTGATGCTATAACACTTTAAAGCGATTGGACATGTTATCTGTAATCAAGTACTAGTAAAATTAACGAACGAAGATTAAAATTTTCATTAATTTTGTTTAGAACTTGTTTGGAGTACTTGGTATAGGTTTCTTCATGTATCATCTCCATTGCACACACTAAGCTCTTGAGAGTGAGTTTTGATCGCGTGTGTGAGACTTGAAATGGCTGTCATTGGTGTGGTGAGGTGATCTTGAATATGAATTGACTTTTAATTAGTTGACTTAAGTTCTTGTATATTCCCCAAAAAGAAAACTGTTTTGAGCTTCAAAAAAGTTGATAAGAAAAATTCATCTTATACTTTACTTCGTAGTTTTTATGACTGAACTAATTAAACTTGCTGGGTATGTTAAAATCTGGTGTCCTATAGTCACCTGACTTAGGATTTATCTGTCTAAAGCTCATTATATGGATTATTCATAAAGTTTAATGAAGAGAAGTCTACACATAAGATCTGGAAATATATATGTGTGCGCGCAAGTGCTCACAGATAGGTGGAAAAAGAAAAATTATACAATGAAAAATTAATATGAGATTTTTAATTAAAAGGTTCTAGTAGCACTTGTTTGACTTTCATACTTTGAGGACAATATTCATGCACTGGTGATTTCTTTGCATGTCATTTTTCACCGATGTAACGTATTCAATCTTGCTTACTAGAGATTAGTAGCACTTTTCAGTTTTCACACATGGGTTGCTTATAAAATTTGTTGTTTAGAATGAGTTATGTGGAAAAAGTTTGCTGTTTATGAATTATGTTTGTATGAGTAAGCAAATTAACTGTTCGAGTGATCTCGAGATTTGAGCTTTCAAGACAGGAAGTTATATTTAAAAATCCACAACAATGAGTTATCTCTAATAGAGAATTTTCATTCTCTCACTACATGTTTTACATAATTTTGCGTAGTGTGTCCATGTGCATAGTTGTTCACAATTTCTCTCTGTGTTATTCATGATTATGTTGCCTAATTTTCCTTTTTGATTCGCGACAAAAAGTGAGGAAGGATTAGTTTATTTCAAGGAGTTGAGTAGTATATGAGTTAGGGACAGTAGTAGTTATTTATGTTTTTTGATATTTGAGTTAGGGGGATAAATATTTTTGAATGATGATCTGACTAGCAGGATTTAATGTAATGCATTATTGATATTATGTTAAGTGTTTTGTATAATATCGATATCATATTTTGCGTTGCTAAATTATTGATGCACATAGTGTTACATGTTTTCGTAGTATACATGTTTTACTTGCGTTGTTTATATGACTTGGTTATATGCTTTATTGCAAGGTTCATCTTGCTTTTACACGTCGTATTATTAATTTCATGTGTTTTGGGAAACGTGTATGACAAGTTTTTGAGATGAAGTTTGGGTATTGGGTTAGTATTGTTAGGTTGTGTTTAATGATAGTAATTTTGAAATAAATGATGTTGTCACGGAATAATCATTCAGAGTTCTGAAGTTCGAGACATGCAACTAGAGTCCACTTGGAGAAGAACAAGGTGAATGATCGGATCACTTTAGGTTGGTGTTGCAACGATGTAAAGAAACCTACCTTATACTTAATTGTGAAAAATGTGACTTCATGTTTCAAGAAAGGATTAGGCATTTGATTTCAGCTAGGGTGTTGAGGTCAATAGGGCTAAGATATAAGTGATAAAGAACTTACCTCCATCTACTTCAGTAAAAGGCATCAAAAGCTTCTTGGGACACATAGGTTTTTATCAGCGTTTCATCAAGGGCTTCTAAAAAATAATCAAATCGCTTTGTACTTTATCTGAAAAGGACACTCGTTTCAACTTTTCAGATGAATGTTTAGTTGTTTTCAACACTTTGAAAGAAATGTTGGCCATAACTCATGTTCTAGCTGCACCTAATCGTGATTACCATTTGAGCTGATGTGTGATGCAAGTTACTACGCGGTTGGAGCAGCTTTGGGTCAGCGAAAGAATAAGGTTTAGTTACATGTGATTCACCACACTAGCAAGATTCTTATTGAAAATCAGTTGAACTACGCTTCTACAAAAATGAGGTTTTGGCAGTGGTATTTGCTTTCGACAAATTCAGGCCTTACTTGATTGGGTTAAAAGTAATTGTGTACACATATCATTCAGCCTTGAAGTATTTGTTTAGTAAGAAGAATGAAAAAGTGATACTCATCAGATGGGTACTTCTATTACAGAATTTTGACTTGGAAATAAAGGACAAAAAGGTTGTGAAAATTTGGTAGTAGACCATCTATCTCGCTTGGAGCAACATTAAGAAGATTCCACTAATGAAATAAATGAAATATTTCTAGATGAAACACTTTTACAGATCAAATCAACAATGTTGTACGCAGATTTTGTGAACTAATTGGCCAATTAAGTTGTTCCAACGGAGTTTTCGAGTAAACATAAGAAATTCTTTTGTGATCATAAGCATTACATTTGGGATCGTCAATTTCTCTATAGATAGGGTCCGAATCAAATCATTCACTATTGTGTGCCAAAAGAAGAGCATGAAGATTTATTGGAACTTTGTCACTCTTCTCCATATGGAGGGTACTTCGCAACAACCAAAACAACAGCTAAAGTCTTACAAGCATGTCTATTGGCCTACTCTATTTTGGAATGCCTATGGTTTATTTCAGAAGTGTGACAAGTACTAGAGGACGGGAAACATCTCAAGGAAGAATGAGATGCCTTTAAACAACATTTTGGAAGTAGAAATATTTGATTTTTGGGGTATTGACTTCATGTGATCATTTCCTTCTTCATATGGTCAACAATACAAATTGGTTGCTGTAGATTATGATCAAAATGGGTTGAAGTTGTAGCATTACCAACAAATGATGGAAGGGTTGGGACTTAGTTGTTAAGGAAAACATATTTTCTAGGAATGACGCTCCGCTGGCTATTATAAGTGATGGGTGAAAACACTTTTATAACTACCTATTTTGAAAATTATCCATCAAATTTCAATGGAAAAGAAGACATTGAACGTGTAGAAGATGAACTAGAGCTGTAAACTGGGGATGTAGCCTATTGATCAACTACATGTTCAGTGTCTTCTTCATCATTGAAATTTGATGGGTAATTTACAACATTACAGCTACCATTGTTCCTCTCATTTTCAACGTTAGTTACACCTTTATTTGAAAGCTAAAATGGGGATGAAAAGCTCACGACCACATGTTTCGAGAAGAGGGATAGTCTTGTGTGTAAGCATAGCATTTTTAGTCGAACCTACCCTCTGGCCAACAATAGTAGAGAGGGTTTGATTCCCGTTATAAGCAATTTTCGTCCTAGAACCTTTGCCTGCCTTCACTTGTTCACGCATGGGTGGGTCATTTGGTTACCACTATCTATCCATGTATTTTCAGCTGGAAAACATTGTCTTCTTCACCATTGAAATTTGATAGTAGCTGATGGGTAATTTACAACATTACAATAGTCATTGTTCTTCTCATGGTGAACTACAAAGTTCTTTGTCATTTTATATATTTAATGGAATCATTTATAAATTAAATATCTAATATTACTGTTACGATTTGTTAGGGAAGAACTTGTTTAAGGCGGGAAAAAACAGGAAAACAATGAGAAGAAAAGAATACTCTTCCCTTTGAACAAGATTTAATTTCATGAGTTCATTTAAAGGAGCTGGAAATGAATGAAAATGATTTTTTGTGCAATCAAATGTATAATTAAGGGTGAAAATGTAAAAAATTGGAAGGTATTGACTTTGTCAAAATAAAAATAAAAGTTAAGAATTATATTCTAATTACCCTTAAAAATTCGTTCAATTCGATACCGTAGACCCCAGCCTCAAATGGGATGGAAATTACCTGTCTAGTCGAGTAAACTGAGTGGGGGGCAGGACGGGGTTCATTGTCCTGAAGGAGGTACGGGTACGGGAAACATTATCCCCATCACATTTAAAACTAATTTCAAATTTAAGTTTTTTGTCAAATAAAAATAAAAAGATTCATCACTATTTTTAAATAGAACATGAATTTTTCTGAACAAATTGAAAAAAAAGGTAACAAAATTCACAAACAAAAGATGTAAGAAATAAAAGCAAATAATAAAATAAATAAAAATAAATAAACGGGACAATAAATGAGAGAGAAGACCTCCCTCGCTTTGCACAATCCCGCCTCTTACCGCTTTAATTGGGTATGAAACGAGGCGAGGTAACAAAAATATCCATCAGGACGGGAGAGGGAAGGATTAAGCCAAATGTATAGATGGTCGGTTCACAGACCTCTTATCGACCCTCACATGAGGTGGGTCCCAATGCGAGACCCGCTTGATTAAAAATTGATTCAAATTTTTCCCGCCCCCTTTTGTGTGTAATCTGTAGAAGCCCCACTTCGGTAACCCAAGCAATATTCCAGAGGAAATGGTCAAACCATCTATATCCATACTATTGCAATATCTATTCCTTTTTATTTATATTTGATGGTTTACCTAATTCACATAAAATAAATGAAATAAAATAAATTAATTAATTAATCAAAATATAAGCAGATTTGATTATAATAAATATTTTTTGCAAGGGAAACCCGAATTTGAAAACAGAACTTGAAGTAGACGACAAGGGGTCTCATCGATCACATGATTAGATATTAGTTGTAACCATGTGAAGTGTATCTGCCAGGCTGGCAATCGCTTAGAATCCAACGTGAATATCTGCTGGCGATTCCCTCATACTATTTTTGAATTGTAACCACAAATTTTTAATCATATATATCCAACCAAGAATCGTGAGTGAGATATTTAAAAAAAAAAAAACTGCATTTCGAAATTTGAATACAACACAGTGGTGTTGTACCGTGTTTAGGGCTCTTCTCCTTTGCTGATGCTGTTAGTGTTGGTGGTGGATTGATTTTTTAGAGCGAGAGTGCTTGCTGAAATTAACAGATCCCACCTGCATTGTACTGGGTTAGTGTCATTTAGATCTTGCTCTTGTATATTGAGAATTAGATCTGTAATCTTTACCCAGAAATTTTGTGTATTTTTTGGGCATTTATGTCTGCATTTGCAATTTAGCACCATTGTGTTGTGATTTAGATGGCCGGCATTTTATGGATCATTCTTAAATTCATTAATGATTTTTAGAGAAATACTCGAAATTGAACCATAAGTTTTTTGTTTTATCATGTTGAACTAGAAGATTCTCAAGAATCTATTTTCTTTGGGTATTATTATTACTGAAAAGAATGCCTTGTGGGTTTTCTTGAATGAAAATTTGCCGTAGAAAGTTGAATGATAAGAACACTTTTTGTTCTCCATTCATAGTGCACGAGGTCTTAAAAGTTCTAGAAAACTTGTAATAATTCTTATTGCAAAAATTGGAAGGCACATTCATTGAGCATTATCTGATTAAGATGATCGCAAGGATTTCATTAATAAAGGGACTTTTCATTGAGATGATTGTTCTAATACAATGCTTTTTAAAATGATTCAATGCTTTAGACTATACACTAAAGCAGTAGGTAATTGCCATTCTGTTCTTTCTTATATTTTCTTTTACTCTTCTATTGGATGTCCATTGAGTCCAATAATATGTCATAATTCCTTTTTTTTTTTTTTTTTACACTTGTTTCAGTTTGAATGAATTGCAGAAGATAACTTTTCTTTTTCTTCTCTAATTTTTCCAGGGTAGCATTTTCTGTCTCGCACCTCTAGACTTACAATAGCATAGCATATAAAATCTTGTGCTTCCCAACTAAATTGTGTAAGTGATCAGAAATCGGTGATCATAGGCAAGATTGAGTGCCACAGTGTATCATTTCTTTTATTGATAGTACATTCAATACTTGGGGAGTAAACTACAAATTCAGTGATTTAAACTATTATTGTAGCCCTTTTCAATTGGGTTTTCACTTTTGGACTCAATTTCAAGCTACACAAACCTTGTTTCTGTTTTCTCATGGCGTCTCTGTGATTGGTCTTTGCATTTACACTATAGCATATCAGATCAATCTAAATCCAGTGATGTTTAGTTGAGTTCATCTGTCCACTATCCACAATTATATAACATTTGAATCTTTGAACTGATTTATGTAACCGTCAAAATTTCTAGAATGGAAGAAAATATGCATTTTGTCAATAAAATGAAATTTATACCTTTTCATTTATATATAAGACTCCATAACCTTTGATTTCTAATGACCCTCATGGATCTGATCTGTAACCCATTTCTAGTTTATTTGTGCCCTATCTTTTCTCTCTATGTAAGCATTTTTGGCTTAAAGTTTTCGTTTATACTTGCCTATTTCTTTATATTTTCTCTATGATTGCATAACAGTTAGCCAAGATGGTTGCACATGAATTCACTGTGGACTTAAGTAAACCTCTTGTCTTCCAGGTAAAAGCTTTTGCATTTTATCCATTTTTGAATAAAATAGGTATTTTCAAGCAAAATATGTGCCCTTTAACCTTGCATGGTTGTGTCAACCTAAAGAGCAGCCCATTAATAAGAGTGACATAATTTCCTAGTAGTTCTAAGAAATGAACAGAAGGGTCATGTAAACTGACCCCAAATCTATTAGGAATAAGGTTTATTTTGTTTTTCATCACTGATCCTTGCATGGGTTTAGCTTCTTATGGTTCATCATTTTATACATGAATGCTGCTGTCTTTTATGTTTTAAAGGGGATAAGAACTTTTATCTGGGATCTGGGTCTGGCTTATTGTTTGATGCATGTAAGGAGCATTTTAAATATGAATGAACGTCAACATAGTTTGGATTGAGTAAAGGAGATATTTTCTGCCATGGCTCTTCATATACTCACTTTTTAAAAGTACTTTCTTTTACAATCTATTGATGTTCTTGCACTTCTTGTAGATTTATGTTCCTTATCTTTCCTCTCATTTTTAACCTCATAATTCCTTTGATATTTTCAAAGGTTGGCCATCTTGGTGAAGCTTATCAGGAGTGGGTTCACCAGCCAATTGTCAGCAAGGAAGGCCCTCGGTTTTTTGAAAGTGATTTTTGGGAGGTACTACTTTCATATGTTTATGTCAAGATCAATGCCATTGTCTCATTCTTATTGATTTGGAAACATTTATGGTTAAGAAATATTTTCTTATACATATTGGTAATGTGTACACTTAAGATGTTGTCTCCTTTTCAAACAGTTTTTGACACTTACGGAGTGGTTTGTAATTCCGCTCATTTGGCTCCCAGTTGTTGGCTGGTTCATCTTGAAATCCATTCGAATGGACCTTACAATTCCTCAGGTGGCATTGTTTATGGCATTTGGCATCTTCATTTGGACATTGCTAGAATACACTTTGCATCGTTTCCTTTTCCACATCAAGACAAAGAGCTACTGGTTAGATTACTCTTTGTCCTCTCACTTTCTCCCCATTCAAGTCTTATGCCTTCCTCTTCCATGTCTTGTCTATATGCGTGTTTGAAATTTGAACCTTAACTCCACATTACTTGTTTTCAACTCTTTATCAAATGTATTTGTTGACTTGTAGGGGAAACACCATTCATTATCTTCTTCATGGTTGTCATCATAAGCACCCAATGGATGGTCTACGCCTTGTCTTCCCTCCTGCTGCAACCGCTATTCTCTTGGTGCCAGTAAGTATTTGCCCTGGACACTAATGTCACTGTTATTGCATAGGCCTCAGAAACCTATCTGGTTTTTTGCTTGCTTTTGGACACTTTGAGAAATGCTGGGGCTCTACATAATCTGTTGACAGAATGTGTAGCCTGAATAACCAGGCTAACATTGCTGCAAATTTTGTGCTAGTTCAGTACTATTCAGCTGTGATTGTTTGAATTTTAGTCATCTGTTTAATTAAGAGCTATTTAAATTATTTAATATTTCTTCCATTATACTTGTCATGATTCTCGGACAGAGAACAAGTGCTAAATGGTTTTTAATGTAAAATACATTTTGGTCGCTTTTAATTTAAAAGACATCCTTGTCTGAAACACAGTATTGAATTTATGGAATTTGTGGTTGACGGAACTATACAACGAACGAAATCATTTTGAACTGTTTCTAACTTTTTTCTGAATTTAATTTTCAGTTCTGGAACTCGATAAAATTTTTAGCTACACCTTCTACTGCTCCTGCTATATTTGGAGGTGGTCTATTGGGTTATGTGATGTATGATGTAACCCATTACTACTTGCACCACGGACAGCCGACCAGTGAAGTACCTAAAGGACTCAAGGTAAAGAATTTTTATCATTGGTTGCTCATGATGCGGATATCATCGAGATTTATTTTTATTGTCATTGAGCTTTATTATTTATGTTATTGTTATTGGATTTTATTATTTATGTTTTTATTATTATTGAGTTTGTAATAGTGGGTTGGCCCAAACCCAATTAGGTTTTTACTATTTAAACAGTTTTTACATTACAATCTAGTAGACGATGATTGACTAAAATTGAGATTGGCCATTGCCAAATTTTCTCCTTTTCCCTGCTTCTTCTTCTTCCTCCCCTTTTCNATCCAATCACCAAAATATCATAACCAAAACTTGGGAAATACTTCACTTATGTCCCAGCAATTTCTTACTGCCATACTCCACAAATCCAACCTCACACTAGAATAAAAATCCCGAAAACCCAAAATCCACACTCCATCCATCCAAACCTATAACCACCTTCACTCACAATTTTTGAACAGCAGCGAACTCAAAACAATTGTTCCACAGCGGCAACGGTCTTCTGTTTTAGTAGTTTTGATTAGTTAGTTGAAAAAAAAATTCTGCTCCTCGTCGTACTGTTCTCGGGTTAATGTTCACACCCGGAAAGTCTTCTCCCGATTTTTCATCAGTTCTGAAAGGAAAAAAAAAAATTTCAGTTTGCAGAAAGTGGTTACACGTTGCTGTTGCTTTACGTCCATGAATCATGACCTAGCTATCTTGAAACTAAAGATATCCAGCCCACTGAACATAACCACATACCCAGCCCGTAATCCCACTACAGCCATCACACAAAATTTAACCTATTAACCCAAGCCTATCACCACCGTTCACCCCAATTTATCCCAACAACAAACCATTACTTTCAATCAAGAAGCCCAACACCACAATCCGGCCCACACTCATCATCCCTTCTCCTCTCAAATTCTATAACAAATCGGCACCTGCGACTGCCTCCTACAATTGCCGCATCCCTCGAATCGCTGCCACTACCGCTTCCCCTATTAACCGGCAACCAAAAAAAAAAAAAAAAACCAGCAAACCCCACGACCCATTGCTAAAATCTGTCCTCCGTCGACGTCGCCACCGTGTTTAGTCACCGCCGTCCCTTTCTCCACCGCGGCCGACTTCATCTACTCTCTGAACAAAACTCGTCACCACAGCCCTGCGCCACTTCGTCCGTTGCAGCAGCCTCCCTCGCCACAATCAGCAGCCATCAGACAACTGGACAACAGGGAGTTGCTATTTCCTATTTATCATTGGTTTATACTGTTGTTCATTTTCAAAGGACATCATTTACCTTTTTTGTGTTGCTGTGATTCTAGAAATTTCATCTTTAACCCACTTGGCTTCATTGGAATCATTGCCCGATTAATTCCCAATTCCAACTTTACCACACTTATCCCACCGACCAGATATTTTGATTAATCATTGGACACTTGCTTGTTATCTTATATGTCTCAGCAGTATTAGCTTGCCGTATTTGACTTCGTTTAATCCCAAAGTTTCAAAAAAAAAAAAAAATGCTCAAGTTATTATTTTTCGTTGCTTGCACTTATTGTTCATTGATCTCTTCATTGCACGTTATTTAGCTGCTAATACAGTGCATACAGTTGCATAGTGGTCGTCTTGTCACTTTTAGTTTCAGTACATTAACTATGGACTCCTCGCAATTTGATGCACTCACCCGTCAAATAGCAGCTATTCAAATCCAAATGTCTGCTACTCTTGAAGAGTTAAAGAGTATGAGTCTAGCTGCTAGTCTGAATAATTTTGAGAAATCCCCACATTCGACTGATGTTGTTAATCTTGAAGTGTCCCATAATAACCACTATCGTCGTCAACAAAGTGATCAAAAATATTGTCGACACGATCTTAGGGATAGGGGTCAAGTTCAGGAGCGAAAATGAGGTTATGACCGTCACAATATTCATTCTCTTCCACATCATAATGAGCGTTCCTGTAGAAATAATAAAGCAGGTGTTTCTACTTTTGATGGTTACTTAGATTTTGAGATTTGTACCCAATGGGATGCCCTTAAACAAGGGAATTGGTTAGTGACGGAGTATATTGCTGAATTTGAGAAATTTCGAATGAAATGTCATGTCATTGAGGATGAGGCACTGACTTTGAGTAGGTTTAGCCAAGGTTTAAGAGATGATTTTAGGCGTGAGCTTCTCCTTAGGGGTATCGCAAGTCTTAATCAAGCTTACTCTTTAGCTCGAGATTTTGAGTTGATTATTAGTACTCCATATAACTCGCGTGGTGACAACTATACACCAATATCCTCAACACCACTTACTCTTAATTTGCGTAATCATGCTATTTTCAAGGAAAATCTTAGGAATTGGGATTTGATCGTCCCACGAATTCAAATTAAGTATAAAAATTTTGTGAATCGATCAATAAGTATGAGTCCCGTTGAATTTATTCATGGTTATGAGTCTATGAAGCCTTTAGATCTTATTCCCATGTCCTCACATGCTAAAATGTCTATGTCAGTTGAAACATTTGCACAACATCTTCATGATTTGCATATTGAGGTCAATAAACGACTTGAAGCAAGTAATGCATTATATAAACTTCAAGATGTTTTGCATAAACGATTTTTTGAATTTAATATTAGGGGTTATAGTATATTGCAAGCTCATAGTGTTGGTCATTTTAAGATTTTAAAGCATGTTGGTCCAAATGCACATGTCATCGATTCTTTCTCACATTTTGGCTACCACGATACTTTATATATCGAGTACTTCATTACTTACAAACACCGTTTCCATTCCTTTGATGATCCTTTTCTACCTCACTTTGTGGACTCCCAACCTGTCTATGTTGATATTACTACTTTCATACCCTCTATCA